AGTCACACCACACCACCACTACAATCAGCACACAAGAATACAGGCCAGTGTAACCACAATCAGTAGTGGTACACGCACCCACACAGAACTGCTGATACTGCTGCTGCTGTCTGCATCACCCTTCTTGTTGTTTGTGAGTTCAGGAGGAAGTGTTGTAGTTGTGGTGGTGGTGGTAGAGGTGGTTTCTGTATTTCCTCCCTCACTTTGGGTACTTGTTGATTCACTCTCTGCAGATGGAGTGCCGCTCTCAGTTGTTTCATTATCAGCACCAGTAGCATTCCCTGTGTCTGTATTGTTGGACGAAGATGGAGACGGATGTGGTGCTTCACTTTCACTTTCAGCTGCTGCACTGCCGCCCTGATTTCCACCTTGATTTCCATTTGCAGGTCCATCATTACCACTCCCCTCAACAGATGGAGAAGGTGCAGGAGGAGGAACAACACCAACAGTGGGAGCTGCAACAGAAATATGAGTACCAGAACCCTGCCCAGGGCCAGCTTCACCTAATTCACCGGCAACACCAGCAGGAGCCTGTTCAGCTCTTTCAGCAGCAAGTTCCGAAGAAGAACCGGTATGTTCGGAATTCCGCCCATTTAATGTTGTTGGACCTGGTTTCTTTGGTGAAGTGGGAGCTGGTTCCTTTGCAGTTGTAATTGGTGCGGGTTCCATCTGATCTTTTGGTGGTGGACAAGTTTCGGAATCTTCACGGCAATCGCTTTTACTGCCACGATCCTCGTTGGTGCACTTCTTATTGCCAGGAAGGTCCGCACACTGAGTACCATCTGCTTCAGCTACGAGAGGGTTATTTTGACAGTTTGGACCCTTCTTGTCTGGTTCACGACAACCACCATCATCAGAAGGTGGACCTTCGATCTCTTTAGTCTCTTCAGACGCCGCCACACACACACAAGCAATACTCAAAAACAGGGCCGTAAAATACAACAGTCGTTGCAGCAACATCATGAAAAAAAGTTACTTGTATAGTTCAACGCAACCAAACCTCACAGAAAAAAAAAGAGAACTAAATAGAGAACAAAATAGATACATACAAGAACAGAAGGAAAAACGGAAAAAAAGAAAACAACAAATCTTTGGAAAATCACAACACAAGGCAACGCGCACAAAGATTAAAGAGCCCAACAAAGAACACAATGCCCAGCACGGAAAAGAAAATCCCAATTAACCCCTTAAAACCGAAAAAGCATTGAGAGAACGACCATCAGAAGCACAAAGCATAGAAATACAAAACATTTTCACTTCCGGTTGAACCATATGCCAATTATGAATATATGTGTATTCCTTATTATTGTTTTTCCGCACACAAAATAATCCAACAGCAAAGTGCAGGAGAAAGCACACAGCGCCCACAAAAAGAAAAAGAAACGAAAAAAAATTGAGAGAAGCACCAACCGCAGAAAAATAACACATAACTCTAGATAAGCTGGTGTGTGTATGTAATTAAGAATACATAAATATCAATTAATACTTTTTCTTTTCTCTGCACAGAGCAACAAAGGGAACCACAAGCAAACAAACAAAAACAGATATTAACCATTAGCCCAATTTACCCAATAAACACAAGAAATACACCAACTATGGGTTTAAGGCCACATATGTGTATATATACGCAATTATAAATATAAATTCATCTGTTATTATTATTTCCTTTTCCCACTCAAAAAATCAGTTCATCATTATCACCATCACATTACAAGCCCAGGCACACACAGAGAGAGTCTCCAAGAACACACACACACACAATGAAGTAGCAATAATAATTATTATAGGATAAACACAGAGAGAGCAAAAACACACAAAACACACAAAACACATTAACATAAAAAGAAGAAAAAAAGCCCAACAGGTGGAAGATTAGTTAGACTGTAGTGTGGATACACGCAAAAAAAGAGAAAAAGAAAACAAAGGATGACCTGAGTCACACCACACCACCATTACAATCAGCACACAAGAATACAGGCCAGTGTAAACACAATCAGTAGTGGTACACGCACCCACACAGAACTGCTGATACTGCTGCTGCTGTCTGCATCACCCTTCTTGTTGT